GGGTGAGGGTGAGGGTTAGAATTTGGGTTGGGGTTAGGGTGAGGGTTAGAATTTGAGTTGGGTTAGGGTTGGGGTAAGGACTAGAGTTGGGTTTACGGTTCATGTTTTCTCTCCCCAACCCTAAAGAGTAGAGCTTTGTGTGCTTTTCCTCTCTCTGTCTTTCCATCAGTCAGTCCTTTCTCTTTGTCTGTTTGCCATTCCATTTCTTCTCTTTCTGTCTCTGCCTCTGATATACACACATCTTCTTGTCCCAGTGTTTGCTGCCCTGTGCCATGCCTGGTCCCTTGCAGGCATGGGCACAGCTGCTGGTCTCCTCTATGGGAGGCAATGTGTCTCTAGACCTAGCTAAGAATCTTCAGAACAAAGGTGGGTGGCTTTTAGCCAGGAGGGCATAATGCTCATTGTCTTCACTGAGCCTAGGGAGAGGGCACCCTGAGAAGGCCTGGCCTGCCTGCTAAACCTTCATAAGGCCCCCTGAGCTACTCCCACAAGCACACTGGGTGTTCTTTGAGCTTGCTTTGGCCCAGTCTCAAGGCTGGGTACTGGATTGTCTGAGGGTCCCTGAGCCCTACCAGCTCCTCTCTTCAGGGCACCATCATCTTGCCCAACCTGGCCTCCGTGCTCTATGACCCCGAGTGCTGGGCGACCCCTCGACAGTTCAACCCTGGCCACTTCCTGGACAAGGATGGAAGCTTTGTGGTCAATGAGGCCTTCCTGCCATTCTCTGCAGGTACTAGGCACAGTGCTGGATTCCGGGTGGCGGCGGGGGGTAAGGAAAGACACACATGACTAGCTGCTACCCTCTGACCTTTCTGCTTCCAGGGCATCGGATGTGCCCCGGGGACCAGCTGGCTCGAATGGAGCTCTTCCTGATGTTTGCCACCCTCCTCAGGAACTTTCGGTTCCAACTGCCAGAAGGGAGCTCGGGGCTCAGGCTGGAGTACATCTTTGGGGGCACCCTGCAGCCCCAGCCCCAGGAGATCTGTGCAGTGCCCCGCCTGGGCAGCCCCAGCCCAGGTCCTCGGGCAGAGGGCCAATAGCCAGCTAGCCATCTAGAGGCCTGTCTTCCATGAAGTCCTGCCTCAGTCTCTCTTGGCTTCTGCCAAGTTAGAGAAGAGGAAGAACAGGGCTTCACGTAGCTCAGCTGCTCATGGTTTTCCCTAACACAGGCTCTGTGGGGTGTCACTGAAAAGCAGACTTACCAAGGTTTCTACAAAGGTAGCTCAGTTTGTGTAGCTTAGTTCTTACATTAAAAGTTAGTTATGCCTTGCTGAGAGAGATATTAGTAGGTTAGTTAAGCTTGACATTAAATCAGTTCACAAACCTTAATTTGGGGAATTCAGTCTCACAAGGTAGACAAAAGTAAAATCAAAAGTATACATATAATCATGCATGCAAGTATAGTACTTTTAAGCAAAAGTATACATACAATCACGTACCCAAGTATAGTACTCTGGTTGTTGGGGACTGTTAAGACAAAAAGGTTGGGGGAGTTTATTTTCTGCCCTCTCCTGCCCTCTCCTGACCAGAAGGTAGAAGTGCAGGTCTAGGATCTTCCCCAGTCTCTATCAGGCAAAGCCAGCAGCCAATGTAACCATTCCCATCAAATTCTGCACCAAGGACTCCCTTTACTTTCCCCACAAAGGTCTCCAAGTTTTGAAACACCATCGCTCTAGACAAGTCTTGTTCATTAAAAAAGGAAGACTTGTATTAAGGAAACTCAAAATCAAAATGAGATACCACTATACATCTGTTAGAATTGCTATAACCAAAACCCGACAACCCCAAGGACTGGAAATCTGCAGCATTACTACAGTTCTCATGCACTGCTGGTGGGAATGTAAAATGACACAACAGTGTTGGAAAAGAGTTTGGCAATTTCTTGTAAAATTAAACATTACCCCCACACAATCCAGCCATCCCACTCCTAAGTGTTATTACCCAAAAGAAATCAAAATATATTTTCATACAGACACATACTACTACATGATTCCGTTTCTGTGATAGCCTCGAAAGGGGAAAACTATAGATACAAAAAGAAGATAAGCGGTTGCCAGGGTCTGGGAGTAAGGTGGGGGTGACTTCAAGGGACATAAAGGAACTTAATGGCGTAACGGAAATGTTTTCCCTCTTGATTGTGGTGATAGTTACACGACTGTACTTATCAAAACTCATATAGCTGTACTTAAAAGGGTAAATATTATTGTAAATAAATCATACTGCAATAAATCTGGGATTTAAGAAAAGGAATGCCTTTCCTTTCTCCTTTGTGTTATTTAAAAGATGCCCAGAAGGCCAGGCGTGGTGGCTCACACCTGTAATTTTAGTGCTCTGGGAGGCTGAGATGGGTAGATGGCTTGAGCTCAGGATTTCAAGACCACCCTGAGCAATAGTGAGAACCTGTCTCTACTAAAAATAGAAAAACTAACTGGGCTTGTGGTGGGTGCCTGTAATTCCAGCTACTTGGGAAGCTGGGGCAAGAGTTTAATGTTGCTGTGAACTATGATTATGCCACAGAACTCAACCTGATGGCGACTGAGACTGTCTCAAAAAAAAAGGGGGGGGGATGTGCAAAAGCTGGGTGCAGTGGCTTATGCCTGTAATTCCAGCTGCTCAGGAGACTGTGATGTGTACCCCTGCACTCCAGCCTGGGAAAAGGAGCAAGAACTTACCTCTAAAAAAAAATTTAAACAATAAAGTAACATATGAACAAACCAATATTTCTAATTGGTAGGATATCACTTCTGCTACACTGGGCTGGGAGGCAAAAACATATAAGTTCTTCTAGGCTTCTTGAAACCCTGAAGTTTCTTCACAGACAGCCTATTTTCTGTGTGAGGTAGTTTCTATGGCTGAGGGAGACCAGATGGGGACCTACTGGGCAAGTCAGGTTGCAGAGAGCAGTGGAAAGCTTGGGCTTCTTGAGCCCAGGAAATCCTACCCTGAGCTGCCAGATGTTCATAGAGAGCCAGGCTCTGGGGTACAAAATACAAAGCTGGGCTCTAATACAACTGTATTACAGTTGTATTACAACTGGCTCACTTTGTTTTTTTGTTTTTGTTTCCAGAGTTAGAGTCTCACTTTGTCACCCTAGGTAGAGTGCTATGGCACCATAGCTCACAGCAACCTCAAACTCTTTGGCTCAAGTAACTCTCTTGCCTCAGCCTTCTGAGTAGCTGGGACTACAGGTGTCTGCCACAACACCCAGCTATTTTTAGAGACGAGGTCTCACGCTGGCTTAGGCTGGTCTCAAACTCATGAGCTCAGGCAATACATCTGCATTGGCCTCCCAGAGTGCTAGGATTACAGGCATAAGCCACCACGCCTGGCCTTGCCTCACTTTCTTAACCGTCTGTCAGTCCTCTCTCTGTTAAAGTCCCTGTCTGGAGTTTACAGCATCCTCTGACACCCAATCCCACCACCACCATCTGGCCTCCTGTCTTTGATCCTACCTGGCCCTCTGCATGTTACTCCATTCAAAGGCCACCTCGTCCAGGAAGCTTGTCCTCACTTGGGCTTTGACCTTAATCAAAATCTCAGTTTTGCTCTCAGTAACCCAACTCTTTTTTTTTTTTCATTCTTTTTAAACTTCAGATTAATAGGAGGGTACAAACTATTAGGTTATATAGTTTACACATGATGGGTGAGATCCGAGTTGTAGTTGTGGTCTACACCCAGAGAGTGTGCCATATACCCATGCCCTGTACCCACTGGTGGGAAGATACTGAGCCCCTTCTCCTTCCCTATTGCTTGAGTTTGAGATTTTTCTCTCAAGTCAGTTTGTAATTGTTAATTTAGTTTCAATTGGTATTGACTACACGTGATGCTTGTTTTGCCAATCTTGCAATAAACAGGCATCCTTAAACTATGGCCCACGGGCCACATGCAGCCCGCCTAGGACATTTATCTGGCCCGCTGGGTGTTTTTGCCGCCACTGCCTGTCTTGCTTAGCAGCCGACTTGTCCTGGGGCCCACAGTCTGGCCCTCCAACGGTCTGAGGGACAGTGAACTGGCCCCCTGTTTAAAAGTTTGAGGACTCCTGACTTAGGAGAATGTTTTCCAAATCCATCCAGGTTGTTACAAATGATGGGGAAAAAAATTTCTTTTTTTTGAGACAGAGTCTCACTCAGTAGAGTGCTGTGGCATCCCAGCTCACAACAAGCTCAAACTCTTGGGCTTGAGCAATTCTCTTCCCTCGGCCTCCCAAGTAGCTGGGACCAAATGCGCCTGCCACAACACTCAGCTATTTTTTGGTTGCAGTTGTCATTGTTGTTCAACTGGCTTGGGCCAGGTTTGAACCTGCCAGGCTCAGTGCATATGGCTGGTGCTGTAACCACTGTACTACGGGTGCCAAGCCAAATGATGGAAAATTTTTCTTTTTTAGGGATGAATAGTATTCCATGGTCAAATATACCACAGTTTATCAATCCATTCATTAGTTGGTGGGTACTTGGAATAACCCAACTATTGTGTGCATCAGTTTCTTCAGATGTCAAATGGAGGTCTCTCTTGGGACTTCCGGGAGTGACAGTGCTAGCACAAAGCCTGGCATATGATAAATGCTCTATATATCTTGGTGGGGATACTCTTCCCCCATACAGTAACCATAAGCACTTTTCACCTTTGCTTACAGCCCTAAAATAAAATGATGATGATGGTGGGAGGAGCCCTTCTCCTAAAGATAGGCTTCCTTTCAGTTTTCAATCACTACCGCATGATGATATGATAACTGTCATGTGCTGAGTGCCAGCCGTGTGCTAGTGAGTAAACTGGGGACCTAAGTTCCCATTCAATGACTTGAATACATGAAGTCATTCAATCATCAACATGACAAGGTAGCTATGATTATCTGAATTTATAGGAAGGAGAGTCAGAATCTTGCCCAGGAACAGAGTTAGAAAGTGTCAGAATTTCAATAAGCCTCAGTTTCCTCATGTGCAAAGTGGAGATCATAATGCTAATTTATTTGATTACTATTAAATTGTATTAAATATGGCAATGTGCACAAAATACCTGGCACAGTACCTAGTACATACTAAGCACTCAAACATGGCAAAGATTGTAATAACAACAACCATAATAAATCCTTTGCTGGGATCATGGTCAGCCTATCCCCAGAGAGCATTCCACACTTTGTCTCAGCTGACTGATTCCTGGATGTCCCCCGAGGGAGGACACTGCTTCTCCTGTAACTTCTGAATGGAGGCAGCTTGTTTTTCCCGTGTTAGTTCAGGTTCTGACCAGAAACAGCACCCTCAGCCACTTAAATTGAGCAATGAGAGGTTAACAACAGAGAACACAGAAGCCAGTGTGTGTGGCTCAAAGAGGAGGGGAGTGGGAAGAATAAGTGCTTCAAACTACTTTTCCTCCCATGCTCCAATCTCCTGTTGTGACTGTAATTGGCTGAGCCCAGCTGGAAGCCAGAGAGCAAGGGCATTTATTGATGTGGTCCATAAAGGTCAGCGGGCAGGGACCTAGAGCAGCACACAGGAGTGCTGGGGGGAGGGGAGCAAGCAGAAGACATTCAGCATGTCCCAGTCCAGGATCCTTTGGATTCCTGAGACCAACCACATCCTCCTCACGCCCTAATGGGTCTTCCAGATTATTTGTCCAAAGACCACCTTGAGCACATATTACTTCACTGTTGAGACTCTGCCCCTTATCTCCAGCATCTCTTCCACACTATTAATAATCTCTGGTCACCTCCCCTCTTTCCCTCAAGTCTTAGGATTCCATTCCAAGTCCTGCCATCAACCTGGTGACTCCAAGTTCATGTGAGCAACACAGTCTACATCCAAGACTCAATTTCTGGGCTTCATCACTGGTGATTTCTAGCTTCATTCCTCTCCAGCTATCAGCCTATGGCCAAACTCAAGTTCTTGCCAACACCTAGAGAAACTCACCCTCTGAAATCGCACATTCACAGATTCCTAAGAAGAATTGTAAAGGGTGTTAATATTTTACCCCTACTTGCAAACTAACAAGTAAGCGTGGCTTAGTTTTATTGGTGCTGATAGGAAACATAAGATTCCTGGGTCAG